ATGGTTTGGTTAGCGTTTACAGTGTAGTTAACCCAGGTAGTTAACTATTCAAGTTTCCATGAAAATAAAAATTAAGCTTTTGAAAGTCAATCTACCTTTAGTTCTCATTTTTTAGAGGAACCCTAGATTTTAGAGGTACAAATGAACTGCAGGATCCCTGCAGTTTAAGATAAACCACAACTAAATCAAATTCCTTACAATTCTCACAAGATAAAGATGTATACTTTTCAGGTAAATTGATCACATTTCATAAAATAACCTAATGATCAGCCTAACACAGTAGTGTGACTTCCATTCAATTACAAACGTTAAATGAAAAATTTTCTTGAGTATCTTGAATATCATTTCTTGTGTACATTGCAGTTTTGTATATTTTTCAGCTATGAATAAACAAGTTCTTTAGGAAGTTTTTCTTACAGAAAGTAAGGCAGAATTATAAAAAGTTTTAAAAAAGTATTTATTTGGAAATAGTGAGCAATGATGAACTGGAAGTCTCATATAAACACAAGACTATAACTCACTCATTGCTATACTCAATGTTTTAAAAATTGTCTATGATTTTATATTATTGTATACTCTTCTATATGACTTACAAAATATATATATATACACACATATACACACACGATAGCTAAGATAATTGTCCTACTAATGTCTATTGGTTTATTGAAAGAAACAGTTAATGCCTAATTGCTCAATTTTGCATACCTATATCTGGTAATCTGAACAATTACTTTGAAGATAACAATATGCAATATAACAACCATTGTTAATTTCCTATCATCTTGTTTTGAAATTCTGTATCATTTTAATTGTTTTTTAAATTCTCTTTTAAAGAAATCACAAGACACAAAAGTAAAAGTTTACAATATTGCCAATTAAAAGCATAATGTTAACAATTAAATTTTATCTTCAATATTTATCTAGTAAATCCTAAAGCGTGTTTTAGCCATGTGCACTGTTTTTCTTAATATTCACTTCAAAAATACCATGAGGCATTTTAAGCTTGTGATATAAAAAATTATTTTATGGTATAGACAATGAAGAAAACATCAGAATATACTGTCATATTAAAAAGGAGACTAATAGATATATTTAACAATATATATATTTATCAATGGAAATAACTCAAGTAAAATGAAATCTTAATACATAATGCTCTCAGAAATAGATACAAATCTTTCTAAAAAATTCACTGTAAACATGATTATTTTGTGCCCTATCCTCCTTATTCTTTTCATTTTTTCTATTCTTTTTTTAATTATCTACCTTAAAACCACAAAATGTTGCTGGCTTTCAATGTCCTACATTTCCACCAGAGGGCAGGCAGGAGCAAGAAGAGAAATTTGAATGGCTACCACAGGTACTTCTACTTTTAGGTAAAGGGTTAGCTAGCAGAAAGTACTGAATTGGGGAGCTTTGAGAATGATCTCTCCTACTCATTCATCTAGTCATGGTAATTATTATGACCAGTTTTTTTTTTCAATCAACACTAGTTTAAGTATCTACATTATTTAAGAGTATATTTCTCATAGAAATAAAACTTATGTCTGACCTTCAGAACAATATTGACTTTTAAAAGGACTTTTAGTGATACAGGGAGTTCATACAGATAGCTAACATATTTTTACCATTTAAACTGTGAATAATCTACTTCAGTTTTAAATGGTATCATTTACTGTTTTTTAATTCAAAAGACCTGAACTTCATTTTCATTGCCTATCCCTCTTTTATTATACTAAGGCACTTTCAAAGAAATAATGTTCTATGGTGTTAGCAGCAAAACATAAGAATATATATATATATATATCTACACATGAATGAAGCATCATTAATAAAAGTTTGGGAGGCAGCCTTAGACTCTTCAGAGAAGTAGCAAGTTACAAACGGAATTTTCAGTGGAAGACACCAAAGCAGAATCACATGTAAACAATGAGTAGACACTGAGACTCTTCCTCCTCTGGGTCACTGTCAGAGAAGAGCTGGGCACAGGAAGATGCAGGTGCAGGTTCCAGAATGCTACCGGGGTGGCGCAAGATGTCAGATGGCGCGGCAAGGTCAGGTATGGTCACCAAGGAATGCGGCCAGACATGCATGGCACAGGGTACAGCAAACAGTTCCACCCTTGCCCGGTCACCTCCCTGATGCGTGGTTGTGGCAAGTGACTGAGTCCTCCTTGAAGAAGATGGCAGTGGCAGCTCAGGAGAAAATATATAAGGACACTCGCTGGCTGGTGTGAGGAATGGACATCACAAGGAGCAGAGTCCAGAGCTCTCCGCGCACAGTAAGAGTCAACAAGAGTAAATTACTGCTGCTTTCTGCACTGCCGAAAATACCTTGGTTCTGTTCTTCAGACTGTTTTCTCCTTTACTGTCTTATTCACTCCCCTTCCTTTTCCCTACATCTCGTGTATCTGCTTCTTTGGCTTTCTTCCTTCCTCCTCCCCTTTTCCCCTTGCTGATTCCCTCTTCCTCTTTCCATTCCCTTTCCTTTCGCTTTATTTCACTTCCTTTTACTCTCCTTGACCTCACAGATCCCTCACTGTGGGCAACACACCCCTGCATATGCACAGCATTTGGTTTAAGAAATATTGAAAGTTTATTCAAGGATGACATATGTTATTAAATGTTTTTCTTTCTGTAGCACACTGATTTTTAAATCAAATAATAACTAAATACATTCGCATTACACAATGGCCCAGAATACCTGACAGTGGCCTGAATAATGTGACAACTTCATTGGGAAGACAAATCAATTACCTATGGCAAACCAAAGAACACTATATAAAACAAGAAAGCAGACGTGAGAATGCCACACGCAACCGTCAAACGGAAGTCCGGGACAGGGTGTATGAAGGGGCAGACTACTCTGGGTGGCAGTCTGCCACCACTGTCTGTCGTAGAAAACATAAGCACCAACACAAGGGAAGTTGCCAGTTTTTCATTCCAACAGCTCAATACTGACACTGAGTAGATTAAGAGAAAACATAAGTTTTATATTTAAGAGATGTGCTGTTTTATAATAAAAGTCTGGTTTTTATCATAAAATATTTACACACACTTTCTCTTCACAAAACCCACACATGCACATTACTACATCATGCCGGTTATGTTTGATAAACAGATTTTCACCATGTTACCATGCAAAAACTCTACCAAGACCACAAAAATCTGGATAAAAAGATAGCTTTAGTCATTAAACTTTCATTTAGTGTGTCTAGATTTAAGCAAGTCATAAAAAGAGTAAATATTATAGTAATTACAGTTCTCTATAATCACATATATACTATTTATCACCTAATTTTCTCTTTATGTTTTATTATGCTTCTGAATGTAGAAAAGCTCAACTAAAATGTTAACTTCAAAACTTTTAAAATACTCTAAGATATAAATTTGTAAAGTGTTTTAAAAGTATATACACGAGAAAAAAATGAACTGACAAGCAGGTAATCATGATGGTCAAAAATACTTAACAAATTGAATTCATACTTATGACATAACATATAGAATGACTCACAGCTGATAGAATGATTATAAAATTCAAATGTCTCAATATTTTAAAATACTTAATATGTCAGATCAGGGCTACACTGTTGGAAAAGAAAGTGAGCCACAATCTCTATGACAAAAATGTCAAAGAATCAACTAGAACTTGGCAGATTTCCAAGCCAGGAGCTATGGTTTATTCAGGGGAGTTTCTGCCAGTGCTATGCCACACAGCGCTCTGAAGCTAATTGAAGTGGATGCTCCACTCGCCACCACACCAAAACGCCCTCCACAACTTTGCACAGCATTCCCAAGGCCCCCTGACGTGTAAAACTACTTCGAACAGATTCATATATGTGTGTGTGTGTGAGATGCAGTACATGATAGCAAAGCCAGATAGATCAGAAACCCAATCACCACGTTCATTCTATGCATTTTCCCCACCAAAAAAAAAACCTGGAAAGCATTTAGGATTTCTGTTTCTAATCCTGAATGTATCCTTCAATTGGATAATTGCTAGAAGATACTTTAGTTTTGGTACAGTTTGACCTACTATAGAAACACAGTGCTATTTCAAGTACTTAAATATCTGCAGCACAAACCCTAAAATAAACTTAGGGTGTACTATTATCAAGAACGATCATCACTCAGGAGTGTGAAGGTCGTTCTCCCCTGGATCATGTAGAATAATAATGATAATTAGAACCAAATAAACGAAAACAAAGATCTGAATATTATAAAGGTATGACAGACTAACATAATCTGTAAATAAATCATTTCAAACCTGCAGAAGCATCCAGAGGGCTTTTATACTGATTTGCTAAGCATCACAGAAATCTTTTGTAGGACAGCTACCCACAGTGATGTAAGTTACTAAAGCATTCTTGCCCTATTTCTCCAAGTGTGTGCTTTATCTTGACAGAACTATGCGTAACCTCCTTATTAAAAATAAATGACAGTCAGTATATTTTCAAAACCTTCATTTGACTTAACACTTAAGTCATTAAATTTATACTTTAAAAATAAGTTTGCATTTCTAAAACCCATCTTTTGCAAGAATGCGACTTTGACATTCACAATCTATAAATTATGAGTCGAATGTCACAGATTGTAAAAGAACTTGCAATGTCCAAAACTAAACAAAACACACCACAAGGACGCTCCAGTCACAACACTTGATTTTAACCATGACAGCACTGAAAAATGTACAGGGCAAACACATTCCAAGACACACAACACAGAAGTTAAAATAATACATACAAAAAACTTCACTTGTTTAATAGTAGCCTACATTTTACATTTTAGGAGAGTTCAGCTAAGCAGCATTTTCTTGCTGTGTGACTATTTTGCATGTAGAATTTTACACCCCTTGAATTGTTCTTTTCCACCCCCATGCCAAGAATGACTAAGTTCAAACAGCTTTTACTTGTGCCAGACTTGGCTTTACTGGTTTTGTTTACAACCCTGGAGGGGAAAACAACCTCTGTAAGACAGAAAGCTTCTCCCACTACTCACATTTGATTTCTGTATGCTTGATGTGTCGTTGCCAGGCTCCTTGAGATGAGAGACATCAAGAGGAGGCACAGAACTGCTAGGATTCCCGCCGAAAAGCCCAGCACCAAAGGCAGCGCTAATCCTGCACCTGTGATGTGTTATTCAGCAGTTGAGAAATGCAGTCCAGACTGAGGTTGCCTAATACAGCTCAGCTGTTTTTCTCAGTACTCTCTTTGATTATAAGCTAGCAAGAGAGATTATTCCAGTCAAGCATTGAGCTATGTTCAGGATCCGTGGCATATGACAGTGGAAAGGTAAAAAGGGGGGGAACCCTGGAACAAGAGAAGAAAGAAAGAAAAAAAAAAAAAAGGCCACTGACCACCGTGTATTATGTAACATTTCCAGATGGTTAAAAGCTGCCTCTGAAGATATACAAAGCAGAAAAACACCTAGATTTACCATTTAAATTTTTAGCGATCTATTTTTCTAATAGCCTTTTGACATTCAAACGTTATTTCGAAATGCAATGTCATAGAGGCTTTCTTGCAAGCACAGTTTCACAAACGGATCAACCACACAGGCTTTTACAGTCTTCCTTTAACGTTTATATTAACTACATGTCAAATTTTTTATAATTTGCAATCTTTCAAAATGTTTTGAAAACTGAGGGCCAAATGATTGACATTATTTCTACTTTTAAATCAAATCTACTATACATCATTTGGCTTGATTCAATAAATTTTGTTATAAAATTTATATTTCAGTCACAGTTACTCTAGTCAGCACACATGGTTAACCAGAATGAAATACTTACCATACCCGCAGAACACTGTTTGTGAATCCAAACTGATTTAGGGAATATTTATCGTATACGTGCCCTGGGGAAAGCATTTTAAGCTCAAAAAGAGACAGAACGGACAGTACGCTTACGAACTTCAAAATCTAACGCAAGAGTGGCATAGAAGATCCCAATTTTGTTGTTTTCCTTGGTCATACAAAGGGCTGCTGATTGTTCACTCGCACCAAACTTTCATCCTAACTCCTTTTATGCTCTATGTAAATGCAAAACCATCTGTTCTGGAGGCTCAAGTCTGTGCCACTTCAAACAAACAGCCTAAAATCTTATCCAAAAACCAGACATCCTTTCCTAATAGCAGATGGTTAAAAAACAAACAGAAGTTTATTTATATAAACAAAAACAACTGAAATGTTTCAATTTGAAAATGTAAATACAATTTAAATATATTAAAGAATATACTTAATATTTTGTTGTTTGCTTTAGATACTAATTACAGTCTAAGAAAAACAGCACATGTAAAAATTTTTATTAGAAAATTATATATATATGTTTAGAATATATATTAGGAATAACAGGATCGAAAGAAATTCTTGTGTATGTGAGAATATTCTTTCTCATCAGAATTTGATAATTCTTAACAACTTTTCTTAGATTCAGACAGCAATGCTAGAGATAATACTGCACTTCGGGTATATTAGTTTTTTCCCACCTTTTCCCATTAATCCAGTCTGTACCTCCAAAGTAAAATAAGACAGCTAAATGAAGTGAGATATATATCTATATCCATATCTGGAATACAAAGAATTTTGTTTGAGAAAAAATGAAAACTTTCTTTAATTATACATAACTGTCCATTAAAATGGTGAATCTCCAGACTGACATCTCCTTTTTCTGGTTTTAGAAAGACGCTTGTGCTGAGCTCCTGACAGAAAAATCAAGAACAGATCTGAATTGAAGCTATGCTGTTATAGTAATTGTGTCATCGTAAACCTGGTATGACAGAGGCAGGAACATTCTGGTCTGATGCTACTCCAGCCATCATCTGTCTCTTGATAAACAAGTGCTTCAGTTTTCAAAACATTTTCCAAAAGCCCTTTGACTTTCTTAGATTTTAATTGTATAATAGTGGTTCAGTCTTCGACCACCTCACTGATTTTAACTTGCCTCCTTTATATTCTTTTCTCTATTTATGCTGTAATATTTATATCCTCACATTCTATTCTAAGGCCAAAAGGGGTCGGGGGTATAGCTCAATGGCTTAAGTGCTTGCCTGGCAAGCTTGAGGTCATGACTTTGATTCCCGGTACCAAAAAAAAAAAAAAAAAAAAAAATCTCTAAGGCCAAAAGGTTCCCTTTCTCCTCTTTTATATAATCATCAATACGGCCTCTCACATTGAACCAACAACCAGATATCCTTTCCTAATAGCAGATGGTTAAAAAAATCAAAAGACTGAGAGTAAGATGCTTCTCGAGAAAAGTGACCTCTCACAAACTCTTTCTTCATGTTTCTGTGTTTTAAGCTACACCAGTTCAAGGCTAATAGATAAGTGCTGTATTTTTTTGAATATGCAATCTTAAATTTCAGTACTATAATAATAAGATAGAAAAATATATACAAACTCATACTCGACTAAATGACCACTTCCAACAGTTCCAGTCCACTGTGATAAATGATTAGTTAACAACTGAAGTTACTCATTTTCTTCCTGTTCTTCTTGGGGATTAAAACATACTTACTTCCATCATTAAATCCACAGCAGCTATTTTGCAGTAACGTGAAAATTCCCAAGTGGCTCCCATTCTCTGTCACCAAGTCAAAAGGCCCCCCAAAAATTAAAATTGTGCTAAGTATTACAGATAATCTGGAATACAGCAAACCTCTCTCACAGCTACCTCCTACAAAGTCTTCACCCTAAGGTCTTAGAACACAGCACTTTGCGACGGCTTTTGTGTACAGCAAAATCAGAGTCAAGGACATATACCTCTTCCCATTTCATACCAGTAAGGACAAAGCTTTGACCAACAGGGACCATCCCGAACAGCCCACTCACCCAACTAAGCAGGCTCTTGGTGCTGCAGAGTTCAACGTCTCCCACCAATAGGAAAGTGTAAGCAGAGAGACCATTAGTTATACCACGAAGCCTGTAGCTGACAATGCTGACTCACTGTGGGAGCCCTGCGACTCTGAACAGCGTGCCGGAGCCATTTATCTGCCTTTTAAGATAAACAGTAGAATCTTCAATTAAATAGACTGTCAAAAATAGCTGCTGACAAACCAAATAAAGCTTAATTTTGAAAAGAGATATCTGTGAATTTGATGAAAATCGATCTGGAATGCCACATATCTAAAATATATGAACACTGAATATTCTTTTTATAATATAAATATAAAATATAAAGCATAACATTATAGGCCAATTGATTATGTTATCAAAGTTATTGCAGAGTATTTGGTTCAAAGCAAATTTATCAAACCTTGCCACTTTCTCTTAAGCGACCACATTTATAGTAATACTGATGCTGAGCAAATGTATTTTATTAAGGAAAATTTTACCTATCACTGTGTAAAATGTAAACATCAAATTGGGTTGGCATTTTTTATCACCACTATTTCTATGTACAAGTTTAATTACCATGAGAGAAAATTTCTAAATGATTTCATCAAAAACAAAAAAAACCCATGAAGATTATTTTATAGCTTACTGTTAAACATAAAACAACAACAAAATATACACACTGGTATCTCAGTTCATGAATGCTTTTGTTTGCAAACAACTTGGTTTGCAAACAAAGCACTTCGCAAAATTTTGTTGTTGTTCGCAAATTCTACATTGGGTGATAAACACAACTGTGGCCACCTGCCCCACACAAACACAGATGTGGCCTTCTTTTCCAGAATCACGGAACAAATTAAGTTTGTGAACTGAGATCTATATCTAGATCTATATCTAGATATCATGTTAAAATGTTTTAAAGATAACACTATACAATTAAATATAATCTATCATAAATCCTTAGACTTTTTATTCCACAAGTGATAAGAAGTGTATAAGATAAACTATGGCCCTTACTGCAAGCACCATATATAAGCAAAACATTTCACTGAGAACTTATTTTTCCCACTTGTCAGAAAACAAAAATCTGCTCTTTTGCACACTTCCAGATGTCAGAAGCTTTTCAAAACAATTCTGAGGTCAGAGAACAGAATACACAGGTGTGTGTTATGTCAGCTATTGAAAGGTACCTGCAGGTTAGCCTGAAATCTGATCCCTCTACCGACACATTCTTGTGGGCGTTACGAATGCTCCGTGAAGGAATATTATACTAATGCTGACTAATTTTTAAAAACATCCCAAATCTCATTAGATCTATTGCTTAGCAGTATTGTTCAAAAGCATCTCTGCTAACAACATCAAACTCACTGCCACCTCTTAGGAAGCCTTTAATGTTTTCTCCAGTATCACTCTTCTGTTCTATTTTGCTGACAAGTTGAACAATAAAATATTCAATATCAATACATAAAAGTTTTTGACATATCATCAAAACTATGACAACCCACAAGGGAAAAAGTGTTCATTCAGAAGTGAGAAATGCTGGAAAATAACTGATTTACATTACTGGCTAGTGGTCTTAAAGAAGTTTTACATATTTAAACTGCTGGCCTGGCATCAAAAGATGTCAGAGAGCTTTCAAAGATGGAAATACCAGTATGCATGCAAAAAAACAAAAGACTAGCAAAAATCCACTGTGTGTTAGCCATTTAAGCCCTCTACTAAACACACACAGCAAAATAAATGTGACATGTTTTCAATTAAAAAAAAAACAGTGACACAAAGAAAGGCATTCTTGCCATTAATGTCTGGGTTCCTAGTGAAGGTTACAAAAGTTTGCCTTTCAGCTGGGACCTAAGAGTCATAGATGTCTGATTATTTAGAATAATCACATCTGTTTATGCCTTAAAAGTTCATTAGCAGTAATATTAACACTTATTCACAGGAGTTTGTATTGTCACATGCACATATGTCCAGAGTGGAGACCCACAAGCAACAAATTATTCCCACAAAATCTCTCTTCTTGCCAAATGTTCCCACTATTTTTCAAACCTCAAAAATGTCTCAATATTGGAAAACCTTCAGCTAGTGATCAAAACGCCAAAATTCAGAATGTTTTCTTCATTTTTCTTTCTGTAAATCTGTCATCCAGGGCCTGAACTCACACCCAGGCCCAGAACCCGGCATAGGCAGGATGCCCTGGGCGCTGACCGCCTGCTCCAGGCTCAGCATGGCCAGCGCTGTCTGTGCTCTGTGCTTCCTGTCCACACACACCCCATTTCTCAGCTTTTCTTCTCCCCTCAGAAGCAGCAAAAGCACAAGTCTTCTCTGACAACCAGTGGGTGGAGAAACCAAGGTGGCGGGAGCCGCTCTGCCCATGTGAGGCCCTTTTCTGCCTTTTTCCTGTCTTGTCTCCTGACCCACAAGACAGTAGTTTCTCCAAAACCAACACATTTTCAAGGCTCTGACACCACTCTCTCCC